ACGACGACAACAACAAGGCAATCCTAACAAGGGGTTTTCATTGTGAGACTTGTTTGCCGTTGCCTTGCTCTGAAGCTGAAGGAGTGCAACTTGCCCAAGGTCAACCTGTGGGTTTCTATGGTTGGTGACTTTTACTAGGTCAACTGAAAGGTCACACAATACTATGCAAGCTTCTGGGCTTTTCAGAACTCTTAATCTGGCAAGATGCTAAATAAAGTGAAAAGAAAAGAAAGAGGGAAATAAATCAACTTTGGTATATCTGTAGGCTGATCTCAAGTATAGTGGGCCCTTGTTATCTGCTGGGGTTTGGTTCCAGGATTCCTTGTGGATAACAAATCTGTGGATGCTCAAGTCCCATTAAATACAATGGCATAGAAAAATAGTGTCCCTTATATAAAATGGCAAAATCAAGGTTTTTAAAAAATATTTTCAAGCCGTGGATGCTTGAATCCATGGATAAAAAATCTGTGGATAAGGAGGGACAATTGTTTTGAAAACAGAAAATCAAGCTGCAACTCAGGACTATTTATACCCATCTTTAATTCTAAAAGTCTCTGTCTTTCATAACCAGTGTCTAAAGTAAAGTGTAAATGGCAAGAGAAGGTACAGAGCTTATTAAATAATTTCAGGGGCTACAGTAATTTCCTGTCAAACCTGTTATTGGCATATATCTACAATTCAAACAATCGACCAAATGCAATGAGAATTTGCCCTCTCCATTTTCAAAGTGTTGATAATTTGTTAATATTAAATGAGACAGATGGATTATCTGCTGTTTAGTATGTGATGTTTCATGTATGTTTCCATATTTAGATGACCCAAAATTCTAAAAAAAATTTCATCCTTCAATATTCAAATAATCATTATCAATATTCAAAGGTCGAACTGTTCCTAAAAGCAAATGACTATTATATCACCAAGAACAAAAGTGATTGTCCATATAGATTAGCAATTTGTCTGCTGCTTATAATGATATACATGTAATTTAGCACAGTTTCCTCAGCATCTGATCAAATATCACAGTTATAATGTTATTCATGTCTAATGTAGAAATCAAATGTGCAACATCTTTAGTCTGAACAAAGACATCTGCCTAACTTTAAAGTTGACACATTTTCCCCAAAAACTGGTAGAGCTGTCTGCCTTTGCAACGTATTAGGATATTTAGAGCACAAATTGATTTATGTTTACTGAAAAGTCCTACAGAGTTCAGTAGAGCTTACTTGCAGGTATCTTGGTACAGAAGTGCAGCCTTAAAGTATTTTGTCTGTCGGGACTAGTAGTAACTAATGATTACATATTTTTATGGATTATAATTCCAAAGCAGTGCTTGAAGGAGTGAGTGGGGCAGAACATTTTTTTGTAACACCCAACCATAGTGTATTGTGTAGTTGGGAGAGAGGAGTAATCTGTTTAAAACTGAGAGAAGTCAGGGGATCAGGCATTTGGATTTAATTAAGAGCAATCCTAACCTCCTCCCAGATTAGTTACAAAGTCTTATAGCAGGGGTAGGCAACCTTTTTGAGCCAGGGGCCGGGTTGCTGTCCCTCAGACAATTGGGGGGCTGAAGCACCATAAATAAATAAATAAATAAATAAATATTGTTTTTAAATTTAAAAAATTTAAAAAAATGCATGCACACTCTCTCAGCCCCAGAAAAGCCATGGCAAAACCCCTGTGGAGATTTTGCCAAGAAAACCCCAAGAACAAGTAATAACAACAATAATCAATATCATCATGGCGGGCGGCGGTGGGGGTGGGGGCGGGGGCGGCGGCAGATTGGCCTGGGGCTGGTCCAAAGGCCTCGGGGGGCCGCATCCAGCCCCCAGGCCTTAGGTTGCCTACCCCTGTCTTATAGCATCTTATAGTAGTAGCTGATCTGGATCCTTTGTATTTAAGACACACTGAAGTCTCCTCTTCATTGCTAATTTATCAGACTGGTCTAGTCTTGTGCCTATAACAGGAGTCTGATCAGTGACAGCAGATGAATCATTCTGCAACACAAATATAAGTACAATTTTCCTGCAAATTTTTACAGATCAAACCACTAATAGTAGTGTCTAGTCTGTAAAGCAAGAAACCTCAGTACTGTAACAGATTTTAGTACTCCTTCAATCATGGGATTGTCCCTTAAAAGTATGCAGAAACTGTAATTGAGGCAAAATCACATACTCATCTTTTATTGTTATGACAAAAACATAGCAAGAGCCAGCATGGTGTAGTGGTTTGAGCAATAGACTATAACTCTGGAGACCAGGATTCAAATCTCAGATCAGCCACAGAAACCCACTGGGTGAACTTGGGCAAATCACACATTCTCAGCCTCAGAGGAAGACAAAGTCAAACCCCCTCTGAACAAATATTGCCAAGAAAACCTATGGTTTTAAGGTTACCATAAGTCAGAAACAAATCATCTTAGGGTCACCATGAGTCAGAAACAACATGAAGGCACACAACAACAAAACAAACATACATGTGGGTCTCAGTTTACACTGGAGTTGTGTTCTTGGACTTGTGCTGTAAATTGAGAACCAGAGCCATAGGGAATAACTAGAATCAGTTCAATAGGGAAAGGCAGGCAGCCAGTTCCATAGGGAACAATGAGACACTAGGGGGATATGTTCCAACATATCTGAGATTACCACAAAGTTCGCAATTTTACTCAAGCCACCATAAATTTTAAAGAGTTTTCAAGTATAAAAATCGAAGCTCCCTTTGTCCAGGTTACTGAAATGCACAGATGCTCTTGAGGGACCAGAAGCAGCAACAACTGCTGATTCTAATTGAGCCTTGTTGGGGTGAGTTGGGTTGCCATTAGTTCCTCTCCAGAAGGGGAGAGGAACTAATGGCACACAGACAGGGAGCAACTGCCAAGAATTGTCTTTTTTCTCCTGTGCCTTACCCATCAGGCTTCCTGGGTGAAGAAAGCACATTGGGAGAGGCAGCAGATCTCCTGCTCTGTCTTCTGCAGCAGGTCCAGAAGGCACATCAATAAGAGAAACAGGACATATCCTGTACAGCAACCAAGTGCACTAAAAAATAAATTAAAGAGATAAAAAACAGTCCTTGCATAAAATGTCCACAGATGTTTCCTTTCCCACTCAGTCCACAATAACAAGCCAGTTGAAGATGCCACCAGGTTGTTGTGCTTATCAGAGTTACCGCTTTGGACATTGTTACTCTTCCTCCCCATTATGACCCTCCTAGCTAAGCAGGCAGTGGAAACCCTTGTTGTTGCTGTTGTATGCCTTCAAGTCATTTCTGACTTTCCCTGAAACTGAGAGCATCAGACTTGCCCAAGGTCACCCAGTGGGTTTCATGGTTAAGCTGGGAATCGAACCTTGGTCTCCAGTGTCATAGTCCAACACTCAAACCACTACATCACACTGGCTCTCTTTAAGTCTGGTTACCATATAATAAATGGAGAAAGGTTCTGCCAATAGCTACTAAGCACAATGGCCATGTGGAATACCTCTAGATATTTTCTGAACTGTTATACCAGCACCAGGTGTCATAGCATTTGGATAACTCCTATGGAAAGAGTACATTGGTCCCAACAGACTTTTGATCCAATTTTTGTATTATACCTACAAGATTAAAAAGATACAATTGGCATTTCAATCATACTCATGAAGACAAGACAGCTTGTCATGAACCTGCCTTCAGTTAAAGAAGCCAATATAGCTAATGTTCTGGATTAACCTTAATTCTTTGACTGAAAGGTACAGAAAAGATAAATCTTGATAGTAATTCCTTTAAACACTTGTCTGGGAGAGTCATCCAGTCACAAAGTAATGTAGACACTTTTGGTAATGGCTGTAAAAATAGGGCCCTCTGTTTTATTAATAACTCTGGTTTCTTTTCATAAGTTTATAAATATACAGAAAAACAGTTTGCAATTCTGAATAAATGTTCTATGGATAGAATGACTCCATGGATGCAGATATCCAACACTGAGATTAGTTATTTCATAGGGGAAATTACAAATAAGGGAATCAATTAAAAGCAATCTGTGGAAGAACACCTCATATAAATGGAACTATTATACTATTCTCTCTACTTCCCCCTGGTTTCATGTGCAGCACCGGACATGAACAAGCATGGTCAGAGAAGCTGCCTCAGCAATCTCTACAAAAGCAAAGATGACTGAAAAGCTTCTGTATGTGAAGGGCACTGATCAGTATGTGAATTCTTATTTCAGGAGGATATGCTGCTAAGGAATCATGATGGGCACCAAACTGCAGTATCACACTTCAGAAGCAGCTAAGTTTTTTCCTTGGGAGAAAGCACAACCTGGAACATTTGTTTTCACATATTGCCCCTGCCCCAAGGGAACCTTTTCTATCACTGCATTCACATTGCAGGAATAATCAAGTTTGACACCACTTTAACTGCCATGGCTCAATGCTATGGAATTTTGGGAATTGTAGTTTGTTGTGGCACCAGAGCTCTCTGTCAAAGGCTAAATGTCTCGTAGAACTACAATTCCCAGAAGTCCATAGCATTGAACCATGACAGTTAAAGTGGTGTCAAACTGAATTGTTTTTGCAGTGTGGATGCAGCCTATGTCTACCTTTCTGTTCATTTGCACTGCAATGGAGCATAAAGATTAGTACCTTAGAGAACTATTTTTAATGATAGTATAACAGATCAGTAAACGCAGACACAGAGAAAGGAGTAGGCAGTAGGATTAGGACCTACTGCAAAGATGGGCAAAGTGTAGCCCTCCAGATGACTTACTGCAATTCCTATCAGCCCAGTGCTGGGAGTTACAGTCTGTCAGCATCTGGATGGCTGCACTTTTACTATCCCAATCTAATGATAGATTTCTGTTTAGTAGTTTTCCAATTTGTTTAGTGTTTCTGACTCCTGAATGTTTAAGAATAACAGAAAGGAAAAGGTACTTTCTTCTTCCAAATGATAGGGGTCTAATTAAATAACTTCCGAAGAAAACCAGGAGTGGATTTTTGTCTACAAGAACAGTGAATTCAGTTCTGGAAGGCAGAGTGGTGTAGTGGTTTGAGTGTTGGACTATGACTCTGGTGACCAGGGTTTGAATCCCTGCTTGGCCATGTAAACCCACTGGATGACCTGGGGCAAGTCATACTCTCTCAGTCTCAGAGAATAGCAATGGCAAACCCCCTTTGAAGAAACTTGCCAAGAAAACCCCATGATAGGTTTGTTTTAGGGTCGCCATAAGTTGAAAGTGACTTGAAGGCACACAACAACAAACTAAAAATAAATTCCTGTTGTTATCTCCTCAGACATAACATGTTCTGTACATCTACTGGTAAGTGTATGCACCCTTCCCCAGACTACTATTTTTCTTATATTGGCAGACACTGAGGTATTAGTTAAAAGACACTGTAAACACCATTGGCCTGCTCAGTTCTGTATACATTTAGTTCACAGATGGGTGGCCAGGAGTAAAAGAAGACAGGGCTCCCACACCTTTAACAGCTGGGTTGAAGAGGGAATTTCAACAGCTACAAATTGCATGACAGACTACAGCTGCTGAAATTCCCTTTTTTAAAGAACCAAAGGTTCAGAAGCCCCCTTTTCTTTTGCATCTCAGAATTCACAAGCCAGGCCTGCGGAGCCTCATTATTCTTGTATTGAGAGTCCTTAGAAAAGAAGTGGGGAAAAGATGTTGTCCTCTTGATGCTGGACTGCAGTTCCCTTCATCCTTATTCAGTATAGCCAACTGTAAGGTATGATGGGAACCACAGTTCAACACATCTGAAAGGCCACATGGTCTACACCCCTCACCTACAACATAGTAAACGATTCCCCAAAGGTGCATATTATGAGGGAAGATCTGTAGTAGTGGCCAACCTAGGCTTTCAAGGAAACTTGCCCGTTAAGTTTGCAAGAGGAATCACTAATGAACTTTGCTGCCTAGTGAGGTCAGTTTATTCTGCTGAACAAAGGTTTACATGATTGAAGAAATAAATTTGACTGCCTTTCCATAATATCTCCCTATAAAACTTTTGAAAAGTATAAATGGTCCACTTGAAAGATCTAATTACTTGCAGTTTTGGACATGATACCATTGGAATTACTATTTTTCTATGGTTCTTGACCAGGTGGTCCATATTATAGGTATACCTCAATAACCAAGTATATGTATTCCTGGGCATTATTTCTTTAAAAGAAAAGTTGTTACCCAGAAGCAGAAATAACAGAATGGGGATATATTTCTATAACACACACACACACTTAACATGTTTCAGCAGACTTTTGATCCAAACAGACAATATGTGAAATTAAACAACCATGTCGGGTAAGCCTTGAATAAGTAAACAAAAACATTTTGAACCTTCTAGATTTAAGATTTATTTCTTAAAGACATCCAGGGAAGTTTTTTTTTCCCCTTTGACCAACCTACACTGCTTTAGCCCTATACCAAAAATCTGCATTCTTCTCGTCTCCTCTGTCATCATCCTCCCAATGTAGATGCTGTTAAAAAGACCTCTAGCTAAACAGAGAACAAGAAGGAAAGAAAGGCTAGACAGGTGTGAAAAGGACTGTGTAAAAAGCAGCTTCTTTGTTAACTGAAGTATGCCTCTGTGTGTTAACAGTCCACCTACCCAGTGGGAGAAACTGAATCTCCCCCTATCAAAAGTAGAGTTACTGTTAAAATTATAATTACAATAACATCCAACCTCACAAAACCATTATTCCTGGGCCAACCAAAATGTACAAAATGCATGATACAAGCTTTCAAAGCTCCACCAGCTTCATCAGGCAAAGTTGTTAAAAATCATATAAAGGTAAAGGTATTCCCCGTTGACAAGGATGTCAAGTTGTGTCTGACCATAGGGGGCAGTGATCATTTTTGTTACTAAGCCAAAGAGCCAGCGTTGTCGGAGACTGCTCTGTGATCACGTGGCCAGCATGATTGCATAGAATGCTGTTTACCTTCCCACCAAAGTGGTACTTATTTATCTACTTGCATTGCCATGCTTTTGAACTACTAAGCTGGCAGAAGCTGGGACGAGTGACAGGAGCTCATCCATCATGCAAAAGCAAAGGAAAGCAGCTTAATTTATATACCGCTTCATACAGCGCTATGGAGTGTCTAAGCGGTTTACAACTGTAAGCTCATTGCCCCCAATAGCTGGATACCCATTTTAGCGACCTCAGAAGGATGCAGGCCTGAGTCAAGCCTGAGCCCTGGCTAGTATTGAACTCGCAACCTTGTGATTTATGAGTGAGTGGCTACAGTACAGGCATTTAATCACTGTGCCATCAGGGCTCCTATAATTAATTATAATGCAGCACTCGAGCCTTGAACTGCCAACCTGCCGATCTTGCAATCAACAGCGTCAGCGTCTTAACCACTTGAGCCATTACATCCCTATATATAAATCATAAATCATATAGGAGAAAGAAAAGTATAATGAAGTTTTGTGTTGGTCTATGACCATTATAAATTACTGATTGATTAATTATGAAGTTTGAGTCACAGGCCTACATTTTGTCAAGATGTTGTTGTGAGTCAAGATAGTATGGAGGCATATCCATGCAGGCAGAGGCCATTCCTTTTGGCCATGTGGATTCTGGGAGACAGAGTCTTAAAGTCCAGGGGGGAAAAATTAAACTCCATTAGCAGCAAGGAGAGATGCATTCTTTGAGATCCAGACTGCCTCTGCTCTTTGCAAGGCTTTGCTGTTTGTTAACTGTTCTTGAGTAGACCCCAAGTCATGGCAACTGTGGATGAGACATAACCAAGTCCTCCTTCCTCCACTGCTCTGCTTAGGTCCTGAAAATTCAGGCCCATGACTTCCCTGAGTCTATCCATCTAGCATACAGTCTTCCTCTTTTTCTGCTGCCTTCTGCCTTTCCTAGCATTATTGTCTTTTCTAATGAATTGTGCCTTCTCACCATATGGTAATCTTAGCTTCTAGGGGTATTTCAGGATTGAACTGTTCAAGGTCCCATTTCTTTGTCATTTTGGTTGTCCACATTATCCTCAGCACTTTTCTCCAGCACCATCTCTCATATGAGTTTATATTCTTTTTTAAAATTAATTTTAATTCAATGTTTGTTATGAGGGGAAAAAATAGGCAATGTAGCAGATTAAATGAGACATCAACCAGACACAGAAGATACTTCAACAAAGAACAATTAACAATAGTATGAGACTTATAGTTTTGCCAACTGAGTACTAGAGAATATTCTAAATAAATGATGAAGTGTCATCATTGGAAGGGGAATGTATCTTTCCAAAGGTCCACTTGAGCAGCTGGAGGTTGTAGTCACAACAAATGATTGTTAAAATATATTCAATACATTTTGACCAGTCATCATAGAATGTGTCTTTTGTGTCTATTACAGTTTCTTATTGTATAGGAGAGTTTCTCCATTAGCCAAGAGTCCCACACTTTTTTCCACCAACTGTCTATACTTGATTTTTAACATCTAGCTATTTCTAGACATGCTGCTATGAGGAAAAAAGCAATTAAATTTCTGTGTTTCAAGTTACTGTTAGCATTAGAGAACAATAACATGTTGATATGATCTAGCAGGATAGTGGAACATTTTTAATCATCCTGGAAAGCTGGACTGGCGTTAAATACAATTTATGAATAACCTGAGTTGATAGTCTTATCCGCCTTCTTCACTCTCCAGCTTTTGCATCCATACATGGTGATGGCGACTACTATGGCTTAGAGTCAATTCTAACTTTAGTGCTCAGTGGTATATCATTACTCTTTAGGATTTTGCATAGTTCTTCCACATTTGCCCTTCACCTTCCCAGTCTTCTTCTGATTTCTTGACGCCAGTCTCCTTTCTGTTCAATATTTGATCCAAGGTATGGGAAATCTTTAACTATTTCAATTTCCTCATTGTCTAGATTGAATTTATTTTATTTTTTTTAATTTTTATTTTTATTAATTTTATAAATAAAATTATGAAGCATTTCCTTATCCTTCCCCTCCCATACAATACCATATAACAAAGGGAAAGAAAAACATAGCATCATTGCACTTCTAATATTAATACATGGTTCTGGACATCATAATTGATACATAATTTAAGTCCCCTTTATAATTAACCAAAAAGAATTTAATAACTTTAATAACTTTAATAACCTTAATAACTTTAATAACTATCTCATGATGAATCAAAAATAAAATCTATAGAATGTTATCTAAACCAACGCTTAATACAATAATTCTTTAATTTTCCCCAGTCTGAGTTTGTTTCTTCAATGTTCTTCTTTTCTATAATGTTAGTTAATTTGTCTAATTCAATGCTATCTATAGATTTTATGAGCCACTCATCAATTGTTGGAACTTCCTTTTTTTTCCAATTCTGGGCAAAAAGTATTCTAGCAGATGTCATTAAATATAGTATGCTTCTCCAATGTTTCTTTGCTTTCGTATCTGTGATTTTGTTCGTCATGTTTAGGAGATAGATTTCCGGCAAAATTGCGAATTTTATATCGAAGATTTTTTGAATTTCCTCATGTATGCTTTCCCAGTATTTTTTGGTTACAGGGCAAGAGACATGGTACCAATCCCCCAGTGTTTTTTTGCATTTCCAGCATTTGCCATCCTTGATTGAATTTATGTAGATCCTCTGTGATCATTATTCTCCCCCTTATTAGGTAGAGAGCATTGTATTTCTCAAGGAAGCCTCTGCTGTTGCATTTGGAAAACTTGTTATATTACATGGGACCTCAAAACTGTAACAGCAATGAATGACTCATAAAGAAATTTAGAAGTGCGTAGGTGTGTTTACAATCCACACTAAGAATTCTGATAAATCCTAAAGTTTGTAGACTACCACCTACCATTCTTTAATAATGAAACTAGTAGTGGGAAGTCTCTTGTAGATTCGGTTCAATTTCTTTTGAGTGACGTAACACATAAAGTGTCCCTTGTTGCCTTGGGTGCAAAAAAGTAGAGAGAGAATAAACTAAAATAAAATAAAAATTTAGCTGCATTTTATTCTTTTAATGAGTAATGTGTTTTACAATTGTATCCGCTTAATTCTATTTTAATGTTTACATTTGTGTGTTTTAACTTATTGTTTTTTTAAATTGTAAGCCCCTTTGAGTTCC